GACAGTAATGTATATTGTAACATATTTATACAAAGATAGAATACATCTTATTATAATTAGGATCCCAGTCCTCTTGTACATGATGTGGAGATTCACTGTGGTATATTCATATATGTACATAGGAAAGTTAAGTCAGATCATTCACTGTCTTTCCTATGCCCATTCCCCCTCCTTCCCTTCATTTCCCTTTGTCTAATCCAATGAAGAAAACATTCAAATTTTGATTTTTGGAGGTTTGGTTTATTTTGCTCAGCAAATAGTCTCCAGATCCATCCATTTACCTGCAAAAGTCATGAAATAATTTTTATGGCTGAATAATATTCCATTGTGTGTGTGTGACATTTTGTTTATTATTCATCTGTTGAAGGGCACCTAGGTTGGTCCCATAGCTTTGCTTTTGTGAACTAAGCTGCTATAAACATTGATATGGCTGTGTCACTCTAATATGCTGATTTTAAGTCCTTTTGGTACATTCCGAGGAGGGGATAACTGGATCAAATGGTGGTTCCATTACAAGTTTTCTGAAAAATCTCCATACTGCAACCAATCTTGAAAGTCCCATAAGCAATATATTAGTGTACCTTTTTTTCCCACATCCTCACCAATGTTTATTGTTACTTGTATTGTAGATTGTGGCCATTGTGACTGGAGTGAGATATAATCTCAGTGCAGTGTTAATTTGCATTCTCTAACTGCTAGAGATGTTGAACATTTTTTCATATAGTTTTTGACCATTTGTATTTCTTCTTTGGTGAAGTGCCTGTTTAGTTCYTTTGCCCGTTTACTTATTGGATTATTTATTGTTTTGCTGTTTAGTTTTGAGCTTTTTATACATCCCAGAGATTRATGCATAGCCTCTAACTTCTGAGCTTAGTTTCCATATGTGAAAAACCAAGGTTATAGCACTAAATTTGCAGAATTTATGTGGAGATTAGAGATAATATATAGAAAATGACTTTCCCTAGRTGCTCAAAAAATTAGATAGTTGTTGTAATTTATCTATATCTAAGACAAGGATATATTTATTTATAGATCCATTGGAAATACTCTACATATCTGAGGCAAATTCAAAAGCCTATAGCTCAATTTTCAGAAGTTTATAGGAATTAGTACTATTGAAAACAGTTCTTATTAGAGATTATCCTAAGAGTTAATTCTAAGGCTGTTCGTAATACTACAATTGGAGAGAGGGCTCCTGTTCTTTCCTTAAGAGAGGAATACATATGGAAAATTTTAAAAGCTATCTTTTTAAGGCATTTACTATATACCAGGCTTTGTGTTGAGTATTACTTTCAGATATCTTCTTATTTAGTCCACACAATCATCATGTGCAACAGTTACTATTATTATCCCCATTTTGCAGATTAAAGAGCTCACAGAGTTACGTTATGACTTGTCCAGGTCWTAGGGGTTGGTAAGAAAAACAAAACGCAAGCTCTGGATTGGACCACAAACTCCTCATTCATTGAGCATTTAAGAATAATATTTAGTGTGAATGTGTTGAAGGGTGAGGATCCACATGCAATCTGGAAGCATGCAAGATAGGAATAATAGTCATGAGCCTTCTGTTCCACTACTATAAATTTATGGAAGATTAATCAGTCAGTTGACTCACATTAATATGAATCAGGACAGTAAGCACTGATAGCTATTAGGTAATCTAATAGAAATAACAGTTTGTCTGATTCGAAAGTTCACTTTCAGATCTTGATCTCATAATGACTTCACCAAGATCCAGGACACCATTRAGGCCATGAGGGACCCAGGCACCATCTCAACTACAATGACAGAGAAATCAGGAAAGAAGATTGGAACGTGAGTAGTATGGTCAAGGAAATGTTTTATGCAGTAATTTGAACTAAATTCCTGACATGTCAAGTAGCCCTTAGTAGCTAATGATTCCTAGTAGGCCCTTTGGCTGCTCATGCCACGGTCATGTTAATGGCTACTATGATTAGCACTGGAGCACTCCAGAACCACTCCCACTGTGTCTTCCTCCTCCTCTCAACTCTAGCCTTCCTCCACCCTCTGAACTCTATCCTATTTATTGCCTCCTGTTTTACCAAGAATCTTATTTCTAATGTCAGCTCAGGACTCTTCTATTCTTCATGACTTAGCTTGAATGCTTGCTATCATTATTCTTGACCTTGGATTCTACCTCATTGTACATTAATCCGGACTTTGGATTCCTTTTTGACAGTGCACCCCTGGAAGGAAGAACTATTCTTGAAAGAAACCAAAGGACTTTGGTTTTAGAATGACTCGGTCTGTATGCTCCATTACTCACTATCCTTGCGGGCTTGACTAAATCCTGAGAACCAATTCTTTTTCCTGTGAAAATTGGGGAAATACCTCTTATTCTGAAGGCTTTTGAGACTAAATGTCATAATAAATGGGCAAGGGTCTATGGCAATGATGGGACATTTTAGGCTTTGAGTAGGAATAACTTTCTCTATCAGAACTACTTTTAGGGTTTGCATATGTGGTGTCTCCAAAAAGCTCATGTGTGGGAAAATGCAAGAATAGTTCACAGCTGAAATGACCAACTTATGAGGGCCTTAACCTAATCAATGGATTAATTCACTGATGTGGATTAACTGGGTGATAATTCTAGGCACATAGATTGTGGCTTGAAGAAGTGTGTGTACCTCTAGATCCAGTGGGAAGACAAAGGCAACTTTTTGAAGAGAAGTGTTGAAAGAGTACAGTCTGGCTGAGGCCTTAACATGTGTGCATGCAGCCTTCCTGAGCCTTTTGAACAGAGAGGTGATATGTGGGCCTTGATTCATAATGTGCTTTCGGGATGCATATTTTGTCATTGGTGAGCATTCTGGCTTTCATGTCCTGAGCTGCCTTCCTCCACCATGGCCTTCTGCCATGATGTGGGCATTACCGCAGGCCCAGAGCACCAGAGTTGGCCATCTATAGACTGAGCTTCTGACCTGTGAGCCAAAATAGCCTTTTATCAATTAAATTGTTTTTGTCGGGTCTTTTGTTCACAGTGATGAAGAAGCTGACTASAAGCTGTCCACATGAACTGCTAGACCAGGGGTCAACACACTCCTTCTCTAAAGAACCAGAGAGTAAATATTTTAGTCTTTGTAGGCCCATACAGACTTGGTCATAAATAATCATTATCTGTGTCTCATTAAGTATGTAAATTTGGACCAGGGTTGTACATGAGTATTGCAATCAAATTGTGTCTTTCTGTATCTCCTATAAACTTTATGTGCAAATACAAAACAGAAAGTTTCTTTGTACCTCATTGTGTTTAACCTACAGGAAAATTTAGGCTGCTCTAAAAGGGTATAAACTTTCCTCAAATCTGTCCAGCTTTATGGTCTCAGAAGTGAGCCACTAGTATCTCTACTTTTCTATTAGATGTAGTCACAGAATACATCTTCTTGGTTGCATCATAGGGGAAAGCTACTCTAGGCATGAATTCTGGTCAGAAAAATTATCAGACAATAGTTCAGCATGTACAAAAAAGCATGCAAGATAGGAATTATAATTTGTACATGCTGTTCAAAGTACAGCACATCCATATGTTTTGTAAGATTTATTAAAAAAAAAAAACTTCTCTGAAGAAAATATATCACCAACTGGTATAACTTGACTTTTCACTTTCAAAGAGCCTGTACCTATAAGTCTGTTTGCACAATGCCTTCTGTGGCACAGCTAAAATACACCCCTAGCTGAGGTCAATAGCAACTATCAAAAGCATCTTCTTTCTTCTTTTATATGGCCAAGAAAAAAGCAATGACATAGGGTCATAAAATGAAAAGAGGCAGTGCTATMGACTTTTAATGGCAACACTCACCATGAACCCACTGAGTGCCATTCATCCTTTAAAAGAACCCTTCAGGGAAAATCACCCCTATTTTATAATTAAACATACTAGAACTCAAAGGGTTTAGACCTTCTGCCCAAGTTCATCTAAATGGCAGTTGATCAAGCTGGATTTAATCTCCTGAATTTCCCAGCTATGAGTGATCATGCTCCTTATACCACACCAAGATGCTCCTTGCAAAGATTATTTTTAGATTATGTTCAAAATCTACGTGAAAATTATGCCATTTGAATGTGAGCTAACCTCAGTGAATGATTTTGTACCTTTTTATCTAAAGAATCCTAAAATGATAAAATGATAATCCTAAGAGATTATGTGTGTGTGTGTATATGTGTATTATATATATATATATATATATATATATATATATATAGAGAGAGAGAGAGAGAGAGAGAGAGAGAGCTCATCTAGAAGTAAAACCACCTTTAGATCCTTGCAAGAGGGACCCAGTTTCCAACATTTACCTCTTCTAGCCATATCCAATTCACAGGGTTGGAATTCCGAGTGCCAAAGGGGCATGCCCACATGTAGTCCAAAAGACTCCCCCTATAATTATGCTCCAAGTTGCCCAGGATCATGGAAATGAATGCTCAAAATGGGGCCTGGTTGGTCTCATCCTTTCAAAATGAAGCTTGCCACAAGTGTGTGTACCTCTAGATCCAGTGGGAAGACAAAGGCAACTTTTTGAAGAGGAGTGTTGAAAGAGATAGGACAGTCTGGCTGAGGCCTTAACATGTGTGCATGCAGCCTTCCTGAGCCTTTTGAACAGAGAGGTGATATGTGGGCCTTGATTCATACTTGTGTCCTGCCCGTGTCTGAGGCAGTTGTGACCACGGTAATTAGAATGTATATAAGCAGAGCAGTGAGATCACCTTTGCTAAGGTGAATGAGTAAAGAAYTGATAGAATGAAGAACAATTCATATAGGTAACAAAATGACAAAGTAAGGAAATCAAATTTAAAGTAATAAAGAAACAGTAGCAAATCAATCCAAACCACATACATAAACCCAAACCACATACATACTTTTGTAAACAAGAGCCAAGTGAAAAAAGTATTTTTTTGAAAATCTTCTTAGGAAATCTCCTTTACATGGATCATGTTCTATTCGGCCTTTTAAAAGGAACTATGCGATGGCAGGAATCTGGTTGTTGGCGGGTGCCTAGGCCTCTGCAGAGGCGAATCCGGCGGGAATCGGAGCCATCAGAACCGCCACCATGACTGTGGGCAAGAGCAGCAAGATGCTGCAGCACATCGACTACAGGATGAGATGCATCCTGCAAGATGGCCGGATCTTCATTGGCACCTTCAAGGCTTTTGACAAGCATATGAATTTGATCCTCTGTGATTGTGATGAGTTCAGGAAGATCAATCCAAAGAACTCCAAACAAGCAGAAAGGGAAGAGAAGCGAGTCCTTGGTCTGGTGCTGCTTCGAGGGGAGAACCTGGTCTCCATGACAGTAGAAGGACCCCCTCCCAAAGATACTGGCATTGCTCCAGTGCCACTTGCTGGAGCTGCTGGGGGCCCAGGAATTGGCAGGGCTGCTGGCAGAGGAATCCCAGCTGGTGTTCCTATGCCCCAGGCTCCTGCAGGTCTTGCTGGACCAGTCCGTGGGGTTGGTGGGCCATCCCAACAGGTAATGACCCCACAAGGAAGAGGCACTGTTGCAGCTGCTGCTGCTGCTGCCACTGCCAGTATTGCAGGAGCTCCAACCCAGTACCCACCAGGCCATGGGGGTCCTCCACCACCTATGGGCCAAGGGGCACCCCCTCCAGGCATGATGGGCCCACCTCCTGGTATGAGGCCTCCTATGGGTCCCCCAATGGGGATTCCCCCTGGACGAGGGACCCCGATGGGCATGCCCCCTCCAGGAATGCTGCCCCCTCCCCCAGGGATGCGCGGCCTTCTTTGACCCTTGGCCACAGAGTTATGGAAGTAGCTCCACAGAGGCGTGGGCCCGATTCCCCAGGGCCACATTACCACAGACCTGTTTGTTTGTTATGCTGTTGCTCGCGCGGAGTCTCACAGGATTGTCTGGTTTCCCTTACAGGGCCCCCTCCCCCGGGAATGCGCCCACCAAGGCCCTAGACTYATCTTGGTCCTCCTCAGCTCCTTGCCTGTTTCCTGTAAGGCTGTACATAGTCCTTTTATTTTCCTTGTGGCCTATGAGACTGGTTTATAATAAACTCTCAAGAGAATATTGTAAATGCACCTGATGTATCCATTTGTAAGCATCCTTTGATATATTGGGTGCTTAATAATTAGAGTCAAAAGGGTTGCCTTGGAAAAATTAGCCCTAATCTTAGTTGCTTCCCTGTAAAATACTTTACTACACCATTGCATATGATATACAATAGTCCCATAATAAGAGATTTGCAAAATTGGACCATATGAAACATTTTCTCTCATCAAAACTCAAAAAACTTCAGCTTSTTGAAATAARCATTCATATGCTGTTGGTAAAAAAATAAATAAATAAATAAAWAATAAAAGGAACTATAAACCCYTAGCACTTTCTGCTTCACCTTGGCTGTAAGAGTGATTCCAGCAGAGGCCAGAAATGGAAAAGCTGAGTGTGCAGTGATGTCAGCAGCCACGTTAGGCCTGAGGAGCAAGGGCTCCATTACACTGGACTATAATTGGTTGGTAAAAATGCCAGCAAGCCAGGCCTGCTTCAAAAGAAGGGACCAGATTGAGCTCACTAACTCAGTAGCAGAAGTCACATTAGCATTTCTGCATATTAGTGAGACACACACAGCTTCTTATAAAACATACAAACAGACCCCCGGGGCAAAACAGTTTTATATATTGAGTGTGTTTATTACTTTAAAAAGTACAAGCAGTTAAGTATGCTTTCTGATTACAATTATGTAGAAGAAACCATGCAAATAAGATGAAAACTGATATAAATCAAATGACAAAATAGTTGTCATTGGTTGTTGGCTATTTTTTTCCCAGGAAGCATTTTAAATCCAGAAGTAATGACGGCCTGTTGGGTGAGTGATGCTGAAAATGGTGCATAGATGCAAAAGAAACAAGGTAAAAGCTCTACTTCAATTCATAAGTAAAATGCATATTTTACATATTAGTTAATTATCAGATGGATTAATGAATATCAGATCTATTCAAGCAGCAGATAGAAAAAAACAGCAATAATCCATTTTATGATCTTGGGATGAGGAAGTAAAACTCACATGTCATGAAAACAATTGACAGACTTGAATACATAAAAATGAAACACTTCTGCAAACAAATTTAAAAATGAAAAGTAGGCTGGGAGGGAAATATCTGCAGCATATATAATAGGCAATGGATTAATTTTAAAAAATAAGCAAACAAATAACTAATGGAGCAAAAGGATATAGACAGGCAATTGTAAAAGAAGAAATACTGAAGTCTCATACATCAAAAGATAGTCACCTCGTGCTCACTTCAGCAGCACATATACTAAAATCGGAATGATACAGAATAGATTAGCATGGCCCTTGCGCAAGGATGACACACAAATTCATGAAGCATTACATATTTTTAAATGGGTCTATATGTGTACTATGAATTGAAATGCATTCTACTGTCATGTATAACAATTAGAATAAATAAATTTTTTTAAAAAGCAAATAAATAAATAAACATGATGATTTTTGTTGTTCCATTAACAACAACAACAAAAAAAGATAATTATCCTCACCCATTCATTATGCCACACAAATTAAAACATCATTGAGGACAATTTGGAATACACTGGGTAGATTAATATTGAAAAAATTGATAAAACCCAGTTGTTTCAAGGTGGGGGGGAGAGGCATCTTTATCTGTAATGGTAGAGTATACTTTGGTGAACCTGTTGGGGGGCAATTTGAGAAGAGCTTTTAAAAAAAACTCAGCAATTCCCACCTCGATCTGTTCTATAGAATGACTTGTGAATAGGCACATTAAGCATTATCTGTAAAACTGAAAAAAATTAGAGTTAACTTGATATCAACCCAAGAAATAGATGAATTATGGTTTCACTCTGCTATGAAGTACAATGCAGTGTCCTTATGGATGAACTAAGATGAGCTATATTATGGTGGCATGGACTCACTAGGAAGTAGCTTGTGGCACATCATTGTCACATGAGGGCAGATAGGAAATAGCTTCGTTTTATTTTATTTTTCAAAAAACTCTTCACACATGTTAAAGGGGAGGAATTCTACTTTTTATTTTATAAACATGTTCATTGGTTCAAATTTTATTACTATTTTATTTTGAAAACACTTTCAGAAGTAGTGAAAACTAAGTCTATATCAATTCACTTCTCTGACCTTCTTGACTTCACTAAGGCCCAAGCTCTACTCTGTTAACAAAAGATGGCTGGAGAGCTTTTGAAAATAGYTCCATTTCCACACAGTCTAGTCAGAATCTCAGGGATCTCGAGGCATAGTCTGCAGACCAGCAGCAGCAAAACATCTGGGAGCATGTTGGAAATGTAGACCCTCTAGTCCCTTCCTGACCACTATCTCAAAGTATGCATTTAAATACTRTAGCCCTTCCTTATCCATATTTCACTTTCTGTGGTTTCAGTTACCTGGGTTCAACAGTGGTCTGAAAATATTAAACAGAAAGTTCCAGAAGTAAACAATTCCTAAGTTTTAAATTGCATGCTGTTCTGAGAAGCATGGTGAAATCTCATACCATCTCACTCCATCTGCCCAGGTCGTGAATCATTTCTTTTTCCAGTGTGTCCACTCTGTATGTGCAACCTGCCCATTTGTCACTTAGGAATTGGTGGTTATCAGATTGACTGTTGCAGTATCGCTGTGCTTATATTCAAGTACTCTTTTATTTTATTATTATAAAAATACTAAGAAGGCACCAGGGCATAAAATATGGAAGGACAAATTATCTCTGGTACTATGTGTCAACATTGTAGGGCATGCAGGAAAAAAAAATCATGGCATATATAGGATTCAGTACAGTCTGCTGGTTCAGGCACCCCATGGTGGCCTTGGAACATATTTCCTGAGGATAAGGGGGTACTGCTATAATGTCTCCCAGGTGACTTTTTGCATATAAGCAATTGAGAAGTACTGGTTATCCATTTATTGCCTRTTTCACCTAGAGTAAGTTATTTAATTTCTGTAAATCCCAGTTTCCTCAACTGTAAAAGGGAAATAATAGACTTGAAGCTAAATGAGCTCATGTCTATAAAGACACCTGCCTGGTCATTGTAGGTACTCCATCAATGGTGGCTTTTATGATGGTGGCTACCTCAAACTGTACACCTATTTTGAAAACTGGAACCTCAGTTGCTGAACATCCATTTACCAATTCACTAGATAATCCTGTATGCTCCGTTCCCTGTAAGATATACAGTTGGATGCTCAGGAGACTCAGAAAGCTCACTATAAGTGATCTATTTTCCAGTGCACCATGTGCTTCTGCTCCTGCAAGTTCAGATGCGTGTTTGCTTCCATTCTGTGAGGTATGCTCCCTGCTGTGTATGCCGATAGTACTTGTTACCAAATTATATAACCTAATTAAATATTATGTAAACCAATGAAATATCTGTATAAAGTGGTCTTTCTCTGAAACATTACATTGAATGTTTTCAAAAGACCTGATAAATCCAAATTTATAAAAAAATGTGTGTGGATGAGACAACTGGAGAAGACAAAAGAAATCATATACATTGGTAATAATATTTATTCAGCTTGCTTTTAAAGTTTCTTAAAATTTTCAATACAATGCATGGAAACCAAAATGAGAATTTATAGTTTTATGAGTGAACTTTAAAAAGATCTGTTTATCTGTATTCACACAAAAGGCTTTGGCTCTACATCAGAAGATTGGGGATGAATATATATTTATATGCTTCGAATTAAGATGTTTCACGTATGGATAAGCATCTCTTTTTAAGATTTTTCATATGATCTGGTTATTAAAAGTTCAGAGTGCAATAGGGTACCAACAAGAAACTTGTCATCTCCTCCCAATCTCTCCTCCTTGACATAGTGCTTATATACAGTCTCAAGCAGCTCTTCCAGCCACAAGTTTGTGTTAAATGTCCTGTGGTCACCTATGGTCTTAGGGGATGTCTTATTTTCGTAATTAAAATGCTCAGCTTAGTTTAATAATCAAATTCCAAAATTTTTTCCTATTCCATGGCTGAGGCCCCATCCAGGCCAGAATTCTGGGGCTGGGGTCTTGGGAGACAAGGGACATTTAAACATGGTGGGGAAGCAAAGATAAAGGAGTGAGGTGCCCCTTGGCCAGACCTCCGTGTTTGGCCTCTGGGTCCCCCAGGGATAGTACCCCCCCACCCTTGGAAGCCAGTTGTGTCTGCTGAGTCATACAAGGTGAGCTGAGAAGGCAGACCACATGGGGACAAGAAGGCGGTGAGGTTGGTGGTGTGGACAACCTTCCAAAGACTGAGGGTGTGGGAGCYTGCAGGCAGCTGATCTGGCCTGCTGAGTGGGAATTGCCATGCTTGGCCACCCCCAGGGTGGTCCACACAGGCTTCCTGAGTTCTTATCACATAGGAAGAATACTTTTCTGACACTAGGTGCTTTTATATTCATCTCAAAAACACAATTCTTCACTCAGGACGTGGCAGGTATTTCTGTGTTGTCTTCCAGAGCGGGTGGTCCTGCTTCTTTTATCCAGCCAGTTTCCCTATTGAGACATTGAGGCCTTTCTACACATTACCTCCATGGTTTGGAATGGAAGACTGCTTTTCTTTTGTTCTACCTTTCAGAATCAACACAGAAAGAAGCCCTAAGGTGCAATTATCCTGCAGACTTCTACAGGAAGAAAAATCAACTGATATGAGTCTTCTGCTGCAATTTGCTTAATTGTCAAGAAATTATATTTGCAAGCTAAAGGCTGGTGTTTAATTTGAAACAGGTGCTTAGGTTGTGCTTTTTGAGAATTCTTTGCCTTTTGCTCCAAACAAGAAGAATAAATAAATGGCAAGTATGAATGACTTCAGTAATTTAAAAAAAATTTTCTT